TGCCTCATTCCATTTAGATGAAGGTACTGGAGCAACAGCAGCAGTCATTCGAGATGAGAAAGGTAACTTCTTAGAAGCCCAATGCAAATACTTAACACATGTATCAGATGTGGTCACCTCTGAAGCTTTGGCAATGAGAAACGGTCTCGCTTTTGCAAACTCTCTTGGTTTCCCTAGAGTAGAAGCAGAATCAGATTCGTCAACAATTATTGAATATTGCTCAGGCCAAACCAGATGGTGGGATACTGCTGCTGCCATTTTCGCCGAGTGTGTGGATGTGTCGTCGCTTATTGGGAAGGTTACTTTTAAGCATTGTGGTCGTTCGTCGAACCAAGCAGCTCATGTGCTAGCTAGTCATAGTTTCTATAATAAGATCAATAGTAGTTGGGTTAATGAGCCTCCGGCTTGTCTTATTCCCAAACTTTTGGATGATGTAATTCCTAGTTAAAGTTTCAATAAAGCTAGCCATGATGGCCTTCCCTCAAAAAAATTATGGACTTTGGTGGACTTGCCCGATGATCGGCAGGCCACTGAAAATAAATGGATCTTCAAGAAGAAGACGTACGCTGATGGTAATGTCACTATCTACAAAGCTTGTCTTGTCGCAAAAGGTTTTTGACAAGTTCAAGGGGTTGAATACGATGAGACTTTCTCACTCGTAGCGATGCTTAAGTCTGTCCAAATCATGTTAGCAATTGCCGCATTTTATAATTATGAAATCTGGCAAATGGACGTCAAAACTGCATTCCTTAATGGATTTCTTAAAGAAGAGTTGTATATGATGCAACCAGAAGGTTTTGTCGATCCTAAAGGTGCTAACAAAGTGTGCAAGCCCTAGCGATCCATCTATGGACTTGTGCAAGAATCTTGGAGTTGGAATATCCGCTTTGATGATGTGATCAAAGCATATGGTTTTATACAGACTTATGGTGAAACTTGTATTTACAAGAAAGTGAGTGGGAGCTCTGTAGCATTTCTGATATTATATGTGGGTGACATATTGTTGATTAGAAATGATATGGAATTTATGGATAGCATAAAATGATACTTGAATAAGAATTTTTCAATGGAAGACCTCGGTGAAGCTACTTAAATATTGGACATCAAGATCTATAGTGATATATCGAAACGCTTAATAGAACTTTCACAAAGCACATACCTTGGAACTGTTTTTGAAGAAAGTTCAAAATGGATCAGTCGAAGAAAGGGTTCTTGCATGTGTTGCAAGGTGTGAAGTTGAGTAAGACTCAAATCCCGACCATGGTAGAAGATAGAGAGCGAATGAAAGTCATTCCCTATGCCTCAGCCATAGGTTCTATAAAGTATGCCATGCTGTGTGCCAGACATGTTGTGTGCGTTGCCATGAGTTTGACAAGGGAGTACAATAGTGATCCAGGAGTGGATCACTAGACAACAGTCAAAATTATCCTTAGTTACCTAAAAGGACTAAGAAAATGTTTCTCGGTTATGGAGGTGATAAAGAGTTCGTCATAAAGGGTTACATCGATGCAAGCTTTGACACCGATTTAGATGACTCTGAGTCTCAATCAGGATATGTATTGAAAGTGGGAGCAATTAGCTAGAGTAGCTCCATGCAGAGCATTGTAGACATAGAAATTTGCAAAATACATATGGATGTGAATATGGCAGACCCATTGACTAAAACTCTCTCACAAGCAAAACATGATCACACCTTAGTACTCTTTGGGTATTAATCACATGACGATGTGAACTAGATTATTGACTCTAGTAAACTCTTTGGGTGTTAGTCACATGGCGATGTGAACTATGGGTGTTAATCACATGGTGATGTGAACTAGATTATTGACTCTAGTGCAAGTTGGAGACTGGTGGAAATATGCCCTAGAGGCAATAACAAAGTTGTTATTTTTATATTTCCTTATTCATGGTAAAGGTTTATTATTCATGCTAGAATTGTATTGACCAGAAACTTAAATACATGTGTGGATACATAAACAAATATCGTGTCCCTAGTAAGCCTCTACTAGACTAGCTCATTTATCAAAGATGGTTAAGGTCTCCTAACCATGGACATGAGTTGTCATTTGATAACGGGATCACGTCATTAGGAGAATAATGTGATGGACAAGACCCATCTGTTAGCTTAGCATATGATTGTTCAGTTTATTGTTATTGCTTCCTTAATGTCAAATACACATTCCTTCGACTATGAGATCATGCAACTCCCGGATACCGGAGGAATACCTTGTGTGCTATCAAACGTCACAACGTAACTGGGTGATCATAAAGATGCTCTACAGGTATCTCCGAAGTTGTATGTTGAGTTGGCATGGATCGAGATTAGGATTTGTCACTCCATGCATTGGAGAGGTATCTCTGGGCCCTCTCGGTGATACACATCACAAGAAGCTTGCAAGAAAAGTGACTAAGGAGTTAGTTATGAGATGACGTATTACGGAACAAGTAAAGAGACTTGTTGGTAACGAGATTGAACTAGGTATAGAGATACCAACGATCGAATCTCGGGCAAGTAACATACCGTCAGACAAAGGGAATCAAGTATGTTGTCATAACGGTTCGACCGATAAAGATCTTCATGGATATGTAGGAACCAATATGGGCATCCAGGTTCCGCTATTGGTTATTGACCATAGAGGTGTATCGGTCATGTCTACATAGTTCTCGAACCCGTAGGGTCTACACGCTTAACATTCGTTGACGATATAGTGTTGTATGAGTTATATGATTTGATGACTGAATGTTATTCAGAGTCCCTGATGAGATCACAAACATGACGAGGAGCTCCGGAATGGTCCGGAGGTAAAGATCGATATATAGGACGATGATATTTGGACACCGGAAGAGTTTCGGGGGGTACCATGTATTCATGGGATCACCGGAAGGGGTTTCGGGAAGCCCCGAGAGGCTATATGGGCTTAATGGGCCAAAGGGGAAACACACCAGCCCAGAAGGGGCTGGTGCGCCCTTCTCCCTCGCCGCCGGCCCTAAGGGGAAGGAAAGGGGGAGGGTTGGCCCCTCCTGCCTTCCCTCATGAGTGAAAGGAAAGGGGGCGCCACCTCCCCCCGCCTTCCTCCCGCGCATAAACAAGGAAAGGTGGGGGCAAGGGCAGGAACCCAAGGGGGATTCGGCCACCCTTGGGGCGCCTCCTGGCTGTCTTCGCTCTTCCCTACCTATATATATGTGGGAGGGGCGCCACACATAGCGACGACAATCTTAGCCGTGTGCGGCGCCCCTCTCCACAATTTTGTCCCTCAGTCATATTTTCAGAGTGCTTAGGCGAAGCCCTGCGGAGATAATATCACCACCACTGTCACCACGCTGTCGTGCTGTCGGAACTCATCCACTACTTCGCCCATCTTGCTGGATCAACAAGGCAAGGACGTCACCGAGCTGAACGTGTGTTGAACGCGAAGGTGTCGTACGTTCAGTACTTGATCAGTTTGATCGTGAAGAAGTTCGACTACATCAACCGTGTTACTAAACGCTTCCGCTTACGGTCTATGAGGGTACGTAGACATACTCTCCTGTGATAGCCTGGCTTATTAGGGATGGTAGACTACTCATGTCAATAAGGAATTTCTTTTTTTCCGGGAGCCCATTCGGACAGAACTCCAAAAGTAAGCATGCTCAGCTTGGAGTAGTTTCAGGATGGGTGACCGACCGGAAAGTTACTCCCAGGTGCATACGAGTGAGGACAAAGTGAGCGGAAAAGACTAGTATTGATCTGTGGGGCCAATCTAGATTCCGCCAGGAGTAACGACCATTGGCAGGTGTGTCCAGGGCGTTACAAGTTGGTATCAGAGCCGACCCTCCCGGTTACATGGATGTTTACGGACAGATGTGCGGTCATGTTGTGCATGATGTTTGTGTCCCGTCGTGGCGCACGACATGGCACATGTGCCGGACTGGAAGCACAGACGTATGTGCCAAGAGGGAACGTTCCTGTGGCCCGACGAGGATGTCGGTTCCTCTGAGTGGGGGTGTATGTGATAGCCTGGCTTATTAGGGATGATAGACTACTCATATCAATAAGGAATTCCTTCTTTTCCGGGAGCCCATTCGGACAGAATTCCAAAGTTAAGCGTGCTCAGGGGTAGTTTCAGGATGGGTGACTGACCGAGAAATTACTCCCAGGTGCACACGGGTGAGGACAAAGTGCGCAGAAAAGACTAGTATTGATCTGTGGGGCCAGTCTAGATCCCGCCAGGAGTAACGACCACCTGCGGGTGTGTCTGAGGCGTTACATCTCCCCTCTCGTTGTTATGCATCTCCATGGATAGATCTTGCGTGTGCGTAGAATTTTTTTTATTTTTCATGCAATGTTCTCCAACAGTCATCGGCATCGAAGGTCCGTTCAGGGGCTACTAACGGTGTCCTGGGCTAGGGGGTACCAACCTAGCCCGTCCATACACTTCGGCTTGGGCCGAAGGGCCCTCATTCTCCGTAAGATGGACCCCAGGGGATGTATGCTGGGCAGAAGATAAGACCACGTCTCCTGAAGACTTGCCGTATACTCTAAGACCTCTTTCGCCGCCTCCGTATCAGGATACCGACCTTATAAGTTGTAACCCTAGATACCCTACCCGACCTGTATATAAGTCGATGGATTTAGCCCGTAGAGGGGACATCAACACAATCTTATTCTTCTAACCTTAGAGTTAGAACACATCTGATCTCGAGGTAGATTACCTCTGTAATTGTAACATCTCCATCAATATAAACAAGAGCAAGATGTATGGTTTTACCTTCATTAAAAGCGTTCGAATCTGGATAAACATCGCCTCCCTTGTTCTAGTTACCATCTTTCCAAGATCTACAATTCGGGACCCCTACTCCGAGGTCTACCGTTTTTTACCCCGACACCAATGATGTAACAAATCCAAATGTGATGGGAAAAAATCCCACACGAGAAAAAAGAAACGCTGGCCAAGGCTGGCAACAAAGCCGAAGAAACGCAGCTCGCCCGGCAACACAACTGTATTCCTTCCCAACAAAAGATGGCTGCATACGACTACGACGCCGCGGTCGCGCTGGCCGAGTTTCAGGCGGCCCGCGCCGGCGTCCGCGGCCTCATCGAGTCCGGAATCACCTCCGTGCCGCCGCTCTTCCTCGTACCCAGCACCATCAGCCCCTCCCCACCGCCATTGGAGAGCGAGATCATCTTCACCATCCCAAGCGTTGACCTCGCACTCCCGCACTCATCCAGCCTGCCACTCATCCGCGCCGCCGCACGCTCGTGCGGCTTCTTCCATGTCACCAACCACGGCGTCGACACCGCCACCGTCGACGGCGCGGTGTCCGCCGTCCGGGCCTTCCACGAGCTACCCCTCACCGTCCGTTCAGCGTTCTACACGCCCGCGTCCGTCGGGAGCGTCACCTACTCCACCATCCCCATCCAGCCCGGCAAAAACTCCGCCGGTCCTCTCCTCCCCTGGCGCGACACGCTCCAGGTCCGCTTCGGCCCTCCTCCGGCGCCTGACCTCGCCCATCTGCCGCCGGCTTGCCGGGACGCGCTGCTCAAGTACCAGCTGCTCATGACGGCGCTCGGGAAGAAGATGGCCGGGCTGCTGTCGGAGGCGCTCGGCGTCGGCGCGGGGCGGCTGGAGAGGGCGATGCAGGTGGAAGGCTTGCTCATGGCGTGCCACTACTACCCGCCGTGCCCGGAGCCGGCGCGGGTGGTGGGCGGCCTGGAGCACACGGACCCCAGCCTCTTCACCGTCCTGGCGCAGGACGGAGTCGGAGGGCTTCAGGTGCGCCTCCGCGACGGACGGTGGGCCGACGTGCCGCCGGAGCCCGGCGCGCTTCTGGTCAACATCGGGGACGTGCTCAAGGTGCGTTGTCCCTCCAGCTCTGTAGAAGTGAACTGCTGCCGATCTACCACCACGATGATTTACTTGCGGATGGAAAAAAATTCAGGTGGTTTCAAATGATGAGTACGAGAGCGTGGAGCACAGGGTGGTGATCAAGTCTTGTGAAGATGCGAGGGTGTCCATTGCACTCTTCTTTAACCCTGCGAAGCGCCAGGAATCCGACTTGTTTGGGCCCCTCCCGGAGCTCTTGACGGCGGGAAAGCAGCAGCGTTACCGGGCTTTCACCCTGACAGAGTTCATGAGCTCCCGAAGAGAGCATGGCCATGGCACCAAGTCCATCGACCAGTTCAGGATTGCACATGAATAATCGGATCCAAAGGATTTGTGCGGACTATCGCCATTGCATGTTTGTCAGGACGAACTTGGTTATGTCTTGGCAGAAATGGAAATTTAACGCTGTAAAGAGAAAACAATACCTCACATAATATAGTACTCTTGGAGTATGTTTATGATATTTGAGCTCGGGATTAGAGTAACACTTTCGGTACGTATAGAGCAAACTTGACATCTACATGTAAACGAGACTTCTCTCTTGTGCTATGAACAAAGCAAACTCTTCTGTCTGCAAAACCAAGGTAGGCCAGAGAGAGTTTGCACGCCTGCCATCCTTGAAAACTGACAGAGCATCTAGCGTCGCGCTCATTTTTTTATGTACTCGATCGTGCAGTTCTCCTTGAGCCACTCCAGCACCTTGGCAGCCTCCAGAACATCCTGAACCTGCATGGTTTTCAAACCCACAACAGACAAAGAATGAGATTTTCCAGCCATGGGAACAAGCAAAGGTAGAGGGAGATAATTTCCTTGGCACTGCCTTGGTTCACTTAATACGAGTACTAGGCATGGCTGTTTAACAGTCACCTTTTTTCTGTGGGGATTTAACTATCATCTAGTGCGTATATATTTTAGTAGCGAGGTCACAGTAAGATCAAAAGGGTGTTGCCAGACCACAGCAAACTGAAGGAATTCAGCACTGAAAATATCAGGAAAAAAAAATTAGAACAGTTAAGAACCTGCTGCTTGATGTTCCCCTCATCGTAGTCTTGATTATAGCGTTTGAACTCTTCTATAGAGTTCTCGACTTCCTTGACGAGCTGGTCTGTCGAGTACTGCACGGTGATATGTTGTTAATGCATGGACAAAGAATGTGTGGACCGGAAGTCAAAAGTAGAGGTTCTATCGCTCGAATCACAAATGAACAGCAATCATGTTATTTACCTGCAAATTTTCGGCCTTGAATATTTCACCAACAACCAGCATTTGCTTAATGATCCTAGTAATGTTCTCCCTCTCACCTTTTAGGTACTCCTGGACCGACTTCTCGCTTGAAAGGGATGCTAGCTGGTCTTTGTCTAGCTTCCTTTCGGCCTGCGGGAATCAATAAATACATTGAGAAAGCAAGATACAAAAGCTAACCTAGTGTTAACTGCTTGTTCAGTACCTGAAGTTGGAGAAGTTTCGCTCCATACAACTGTTGGCCTTGTTCTTGAAACAAGGAACGTGGAACATCAACGTCTACCAACTACACAAACCAATGGAAACATTAGTGCAAGCTTATGCAATCTTGGAGAGAATGTGAAGAGGAATTTGATAATGGAACCAAAGGTAACATATCGATGGTCTCCCTGCAAAAATAATAATTCGGAACTGAAAAGCTATTTCAGAAGCAAGACCACAACCTTTCCCAGTTGGTCGAGGATTGCATTATCTGTTGCTTGTTCTATAGCCGTCTTCTCCACTTCTTTGCATCTTTCCAAAATTCGTTCTTTGACCTGTTTCAATCAGAAGGGATGATTTCAAGACAGTTGAAAAAATCCATCAACCATCGTATCGTATGATGATCACAGTTTACAGCTAATATTTCGCAGGGTGAACTGCAAACCATGATCAATCGGGAGTACTTCTCCAAAAAGAAAACAGGTTCAACAGGTACATATCCAGTGATGTTGATTTCAATGCCTATTATTAACTACCAAGTGGAACAAATAGTACAGCGGTAGAATAGAAACCTCATCGATGGTATTGCATCCTGGAAGGAGCTTTGCGGCAAGCGAATCATCCAATTCTGGCAACTCTCTGAAGAAAAGTTCTTTACAGACAACCTGCATAATACAGTCAAAATGGGAATGAAAACTCCAGCACTAGCTATAGATACAGAACAAAAAACTGTGTCACCGTAGTTTATGTGCAGTCAAACAGGACTAATATACATGTGCATCTATATTTCCCACATGAAAATCATACTAACAGATGTGACGGTAAAAGTAATTCCTAAGTGTAATGACTTCCATGTGATATAGGCACAATATAATGTGATTACTAATTGGTAATAAGAGTGGAGTACGCAGGTATATACATCTCGGTCTTTAGGAGGAAGTCATACTCACAGTAAACTGGGCACGGACACCTTGTAGAGTTTCCTGCTCAAACGACTCAGGGAACTGAATAGGAAAAGTTCTAGTCTCACCAGGACGAATCCCAATTAGCGAACCCAGAAATCCAGGAACAAGATTAGTATTTTCCTCTGTGTCCAAGTGGAACCCTGTAATCATAGTAGATGTGCATCACAAGATAGAATGAAAGCAATAGTGTGCATTCTATCTTATCTGGTTTCTGGTATACAAAAGAGAATTCTGAGGATATGTAGACTTGAAAATCACATCACTACAGTAGTCAGTTGCAATCAAAGTAGCGTACAAAGCCAGAGACAATTGGGAAAATATTTTAAATATATAACAGCATATTATCATAATAGGCAAACGATGAAGTTGCGAAAATAAAACAGAATGCAGCTGTGCAAAAACAAACAAACCTGTACTCTCAGCTGACGGAATTTTTTCACCTTTAGAGCCGTCGGTCGTGATAGTTTCAGCCAATATATCCAGTACAACTAGATCACCTACCTACATGGTCCAAAAGAGGATGCTTTTATACTGATACTTACCATGAAATAAGTTTAATCTAACATGCCTAATCCAAAAAAGGAAGCCGCATAGTTCATACATCCTTTATTTATTATGAAAATCACAATGCTGTTTTTTTTCAACAGAAGTCATAATGCTGTTTGACACTGACAAGGAAACTGTAAGGGTATATATGTACATGATGACTTGGCTGTGGTCAATATTTCTGCTAGGCCCATAACTCTCTTTTGTATATAATAACTGTTTCAACTAGAATAAGATGCAGATTTGTGAATAATTATTTTTTTCCTAAGTTATCATGCTAGTAGGGAAATCTCTAGCCGTAGTCAGCCAAGCCTTGCCACCTTCTTTGCCAGAACAGGCAAATGCAGAACAATGAGATCTGCTTCAAAATGACCAGATTACCCCCTGTTTAAAATATGTGTAGATATAGGCCGTATTGGCTCCCAGCCTCATGGTCTTATCTCATCTTCATGAGATTCAGTGAGCACCCATTGCCACTGAATCTGATCTGGGCAGATCTTAGCAAGATTAATGTTCATCATCAACCAGCAATTGTGTTCACTGGACTGAACTATCGCTGTTGGCACATTTGCTATTGCCCCCATTATCATTGTTATTTTGAATTTCGGTAGATGCCATATGACATTGCTAACTTATTCAACTATCAGACCATCAGTACAAGTTGCTGAGCTATCATAATGCTAACTAGTGGAAACATCTATAGATATAAAAGGTACACGGTGTAACATCAAGAAGCTCCTGGAACTGTTTCGCTCAGGTAGTACAACCAGGGCTCAATTTCCCTTTGAGAACCAGACAATAATCACTCTATCAGCCATAATAGCCCTGAGCTATAATGCAGGCACTAGCAAATACAGCGGTATTAATAGTATAAGTTGGCATCGTAAGACTGCAGACCATAAAATCAGGAAGACACAAATATATGGAGTAAGAAGAATAGTTCGTCACTTTGTCAGATACTACTAGAAATTTGGCCGATTTCTGCAAAACTTTGCCGGTTACTTGAAAGGGGAAATTAGAGTCCTGAATAAACTAAAGCTAACACATGGTAAAGGTTTCATGGTATATTAATATCGCATTTACATACTATAGCAACTGTAAAAAATCACCTGTAGGCCTCTGTCAGGTACTATTCGAAGCAGCCCTAGAGATTTACGACGACGCTTAAGCTCTAACTCGGCTGCCTTTTCTGCATCAACAATTTCATCTATTTCAATAACCACTTTGAGGTTCTTATATTTGTCTTCAGATAACCAACGGACTTCAGGAACAACATCCACAGCAACATCATATCTGAGCAAAATTGGTATAAAGAAAAACATATGATCAAAACAACAATTTTAAATAAGTTCAGATAATGAAATAAGCAGGAGACCAAGATGGTAGTAACTGTCTACCTAAAGACATGGTCAAGGGAGAAAGCCTCGTTCATATCATCAAACTTAGTGAGAATGCGCACAGAATCTTCTAATGCCCTCTCTTCTACCTATAAAAAAAAGATGACGATATCAGCTGAGCAGATGTAATATAAAGTATAACATAGCACATAGTTTATTTTTAGAGGGAGAAAGACAAGTCATGGTTCAGCAAGAGATTGGATCATCAGAGAAGGGATCTGCCGTGAGAAATGTTCTCAGCAAAATATCTGCCAAAAATGTTAAACAGTGCTTCATCTCTGATGATCTGCCAGTTCAGTTCATATGAAATGGTAATCTCTACTTCAAAAATTTCAACTATATCATCACTCTGATAATAATGATGCAAGACAAATGCAGGTTACCAGAACTAATTTTGCTTGTCATGAATCGTTGGAAACAAAGAATCCATTGTGTTAAATATCAGGGTATTGCTTGTAAAATAGGACTGGGAAGAAGTTCATACCGAGGACAATGCTTGAGGAAGTGTATGTCTTAAGATAGCTTCAACTGTAGCAGCCCGTACATGTTGTGGTCCAACGTAGTTTAAAAGTACATTTTCTGGAACTATCTTTCCAGGCCGAAATCCAGGAACCTGATAAGAAGGAATAGCAGGGGCATACAATAAAAAACTGTAGAATATAGAGCAGCATCACAGACACCAAGTAGAATTATCTATTTTCCCCCTTCCGAACCGTCTGGTCTTACTGATTTACCTATGATCAACTGATTGTAAAATTTGATGCAAGCTGAAAATACTAGATTACATGAGTATTTCCATTTTGTGAATGCATCAGATCTCATTTATACACAAAATTATCAGGGCTCGGTTTCTATGAAAATATCGAACACTTGGCGAAACCCCAAAAGAACACCTGTGACTAAACCACAGACAAAGAAGGCTCTCGGTGCTAAGCAGTGCAGCAAGCAAGTAGCACACACTGACACACATGTTGCAATCTTATTCATGATTACTGAACATGTAGCCGTTAAACTTCGGTGTAAGCCCACATTCCTGGCTGTGCTTTGTAACTCTTTCCATAATGTTTGTCCTCACGAATTCTAATCTTCTTCATTTGATACAGGTTTTAGCACAGAAATGGTACCTTGAAACGCTTTGAGTACTCGAGAAGAGTTGTTTGGTAGCACTCCTGGCATATCGAGGGAGGCACCTCCACGCTGAACTTAACCTGCAAAGCAGCATACCACGGCCATTACAATCGAGCATTGGTTCATCAGTATAGGTCCTACTCTAGCACTAAGCATCGCACCAAACTGAGACAAAGTTCCACATTGCAGAACTGCGTGGCTCTCCAACTCATATACAATCAGAGAGGCAGTTAATTGGGCAGAGTCGGGGCTAACACTGGAGTTGGGCTGCGGCGTCTCGATGACGCGGACGGAGTCCCCACCACCCGCGGCGGCCTCGCGGAGCTCTACGGCGGCCGAGGCGACGGGGAGTCGTCGCCTCTGGGACCGCGAGATGGAGGCGGAGGTGGACAGGGACCGGGAGGAGGACGGCGACGAGGAACTAGGCCAGGAGGCTGCCCGTGGGGTTGAGAAATGGCTGCGGCCGGGGTGAATGGAGGCTGTGGAGACGACGGCCGCGGTGGCGAGCTCCATGGCCGCGGCTCGGAGTGGAGCAGCGCGTTTGATTTTGTGGGGGAGAAGACGAGCGGAGGGGATTAGGATTTAGTAAGCAGATAAGCGAATAAAAATAGCAAGTCAGATATTTTTGTGGGCTTTATGTTCTTTCTAAAGAGTTTTATTTTTGTTGCAAATGCCCGTAGTTTTATTTGGCTCTTCTTTTTCTTTTTTTAAAGTACCACATTTATATTACTAACATCAGCAGATTACAACATACAGTACATGGCAAATCTTAGGAGAAATCCAAAGAGACAACACAGCAAGCAAAATTACAAGAAGCACGGAAAATTTAAAGAAAAAATCTTCATGGCCCTTGCAACCACCAACAAAACTGACCACAATTTTCCGTCACCGCTGTCGCCGAAGCGTCCGTCGAAGAGGAGAAGAAACGGTCACCATCAAGTCAAGATCGAAGAGAAAGCCATAGCAGCAAAACTGCATTGTGAGCCTCTGAACAGGAGTTGCCGCGAACGGTGCCGCACTTGTCGCTGTGGGTTGTCGGCCGGAGCAAATCTCCTCTCCTCTTGGATCGCGATTCTGAAGTCTTCATGCGGCAACGCCGCCGAGGGCTCCAGAAACTGACAACCTTCTTCCAGCTTTGAAGAAACTCTAGGTTTATCATACCTTGGATGAGAACGCTGCCGCAACACCGGCCACCTCCAACACCAATACTTTTGGCTTCATGGTGGCGTTGAAGGAACCACTGACGCAACGTGGACGAAGCCAAAAAAACATGACCCTCAACAAGACCTCCACCGCCGTCTTGAAGGCCTTACTTGGACACACATCTGCGACTCCTCGACGTCGTCGTAGAACGCCGTCAAGGCGGTGGTCCGGAAGCTTTTATTCCTGGTGAAGACGTCAGCACCGACCGAGCGACGTCGCCTGAACAAACTAAGCCTGGACAAACACGAACCAAGGAACCCCTGCTCCCCAACACAGCCATCGCCGTTGGAGCGACGAGCGGAGGGAGGGAGCCGGCAGGTGTGCGTCCTCGGAAGAGAAACTGCTCTCCTTGCGTGTCGCCTATTCACCTGGAGAGAGAAAGAGGAAACATAACTTTTTTGGGCTCTCTTTGTGTGTTGCATCGTGCTCCGGAGAAGAGGAGGAGCTTGCGCTCCGTATCGCGCTTGAGCGCTCGCGGGTCGATACGGGCTGCAGCTCTGGGTCCGGTGCGACGTCCCCTGTCGCCCGTCACGCCAGCTCTGATGCCGGCACCGGTCCTTTCCGCCCCGCGCGCGGATCTGCGAGGCCTTCCAGATCTGCTCCTCCCGCCCGACGGCCTCCTCCACCTCCGGTCGTTGCTCTGCGCGGGCAGCGCTGGGTTCTAGTGACCGTTCAGCAGACATCGTGGATGCGGACTCCGGAGTCAGAGGCACGAACTGCCCGCCACGAGAGGTAGAGGGCTAGGCATACGGCGGGCGGGTCCGCCCGCCGCCGTCGGGTGCCCGACGAGGAGGACCGTCTCTTCGAGTGGGTGTGCCGCCGGTCATGGACTGAGGCGGAGACGAAGGCCCGACGGCTCCAGAGGCTCAACGCCAAGCAGCTCCAGCTCGGCATTGAGCAATCTGAGCGGGAGGCGGCGGAGGCTGAGGGGGAGGTGACAAGGGTGGCCAAGCTCAAGCACCAGCAAGACAGCGTCGTCCGACGCTTGCAAGGCTTCATCGTCATCTCCGATTCCTCCTCCTCCGACGGGCCCGACAGCTCCGACGTCGACTCACCTCCTGCCGCGGACTCTTGCAGTTGCGCCAGCAATCGAAAGGGCAGAGGGATGACGCAGAAGTAGTGAAGATCCATCTTTATTTCAAGTTTTAGTTGTAGTTTGAACTTGTTCGCCGTATTATGTGTATTATGTGAACTTTGACTATCTTTTGATGATCTGGGTGTGATCTTGTGATAAACGGATTATGCATTTATATGTCCGCTCATGATCTATATAGTTTTTATCAATGTTGCATGGTTTAATATGAAAATAGGGGACGGAATATGAGACACGTGGGTATGAAGACGCGGATATAGGAAGTGCCTGGTGAGTGCTCACCAGCACGCCGGGGCGTGTCCGCGGGCGTTTGAGGGGCCGGATTTGCTGAGTTCGGCTGTAGATGTCCTTAGAGTACGCTTTTGTAATTTTGGGTTGTGCCCTTCACTTGTTAAACTTCCACTCAATGTTTATTTAATGAATGTGGCACATCTTTGAAAAAAAAGTAAAGTACTCGCGTGGTATGTGCTCTTGAACGAAGGAAGAGGGCGACGCACACTCAGCAGGCACCAGCTCTGAACCCGACGCTTCCGCGGCCAGAATCGTACAAGAGCTCCAAGGTACGCTGATTCACATTGCCGATGATCCCGCCGCTGTTGTCGGAGCTTTCTCCCCTGAAGGCGAGGCATCCTTCCACCAGAACCCCCGACGGCACGCTGAGGTCGACGGTGGTGCCGCCGCTGAACGTGAGGGCCACCTTGGGCACGGTGACGCTGCTGTTGCCGGTGAAGTTGTAGCACGTGTCGAGCCCGTTCTCCGACGGCGGCAGGAGCGGGTACTGGGACATGGCGCTCTGGAACGCCGTGCGCAGCGCCGCGTAGGCCGTCTTGGGGAGCCCCGTGATGACCGTGCCGGAGTCGATGATCATGCCCTTGGAGAACACCGCCGGAGGGATGTCGAGCGCTGTCCCGCCGACGCTTATGCCGGTGAGCGTGACGACGTAGAACGTCGCGAGCTCTGGGGATAGGCGGCGCATCGGCGTGAATAGGAAGCCGGCCGTGTTGTTGCTCGGCGCGCCGAGGGTGAGGAACCCGGCTCCGCCGCTCGCCGGCGGGAGGCAGTAGGAGAAGGCGCCGCCGTAGACGGACGACGTCTGCGACACGAGCGACTCCGGCGCGCCGCCGAGGCCGAGGAGGCCGTCGAACTTGTCGTAGGGCCCGTGCTGGTTGCTGCCGCAGCCGAAGCTGAAGTTGCTGACGGAGACGCCGGCGTTGAGCGTGAGCGTCTCCGTGCTGTACACCCCCGTGGTGACCGCGCGGTTGGCGTACTCGATGGCGTACCCGCACAGAGAGGCGCCGTCCGTGCCGTTGGTGCAGCCGTTGTCGTAGCTGTCGACCGAGAGCGCCTTGCAGGCGTCGGTGGCGCAGGGGATGGGCGCGAACGTGGACGACTTTCTCGGGTCGAACAGGGGGTCCTTCTGCGGGTAGCACTGCGTGGAGTTGCAGGGCGCGCACTGCACCCACGACAGGTCGCTGCCGGTGTCGATGAGCACGGTCTGCTGCACGGGCGGCGTGCCGATGCCCAGGGTGACCACGTACTCCAGCGAGTCCACCGAGTCGCCGAGGAACGTCGGGACGCTCGCGTCTCCTGCTGAAAACATTTTCCTGCGCGCCGAGGCCTTGCGAATGATATAGTTGGCGCGGGCGCGGTCCCTGCGGAGCCTCTCGGCGAGAGACGGCTTGCCGCTGCCCCCCGAGGGCGCGCACGGTCCGTGCCGGTGCGCCAGGGGCACGGACGCACGGTTTGGCAGCTCAGAACTGATCGACGTGGAGCATGCTGCTTCTGGCTCGAAGGAGCTAGCCGGTACCACGACGAAGTTGTGCTCGTTGCCTCCAAGCGCGACCGAGTAGAGGCAGCATAACAGCGCGGACCAGAGCACGGGGGAAACCATGGCTGTCATGTCCTAGGTTCTTGCTTGTCAGGTACGGATGATCGGGTGAGTATTTATCTGCCAATGTCGTTGGCATTTCGATTTGCACTCATCGAAGACATACGGGGAAAACTAGGCAAAGATGTACATTAGGACTACATTACTTCCGTCGCCCTAATTGGATGTACATGCTGCATTGTCCTATTGTCCTTGGCAATGTACGTCGGACTTGCATGCGTTGCCATATGCCGACATATCTGATATGCTTTTGCATTGGAAACATCATTCGAAATGCTAAACAGATGTGTTCGATCAGCCAACAGCGACAATGTCGCCTTTGCTGATTATCAACATGACGCTATCTGTTTCTTTGGGTAACGACCATCTTTGTCAGGCAATATTCAGATCCAAGCATTTCCTATTTGGCGCTTAAGGCGTCAACTTTTTTTTTTTTGAGACACGCTTAAGGCGCCAGTTAATAGGCCCACGGCCGATTCCACCTCGCTAGCAAATGGGCCAGCCAATATAGGATCCAATAACGGGATTTCGCTGTTGTTTTGAGAAGCTTCTACTAGCTTTCCAGCCCGGTTACCCCTGAAAAGAAAAACTTTCCAGCCAGGTTTTGCGAAGCTTCAAGCTTCCTATTTTTTTGTCTGAGTTTTTGGACTGGGTCTTGTCCAGTTTTTTTGTATCTTTTCTTTCTGTTTTCTACTTTTATATTTTTAAATTCAAACTTTTCCAAATTCACGAATCATTTTCAAAACATTATACTTTTTTCTATTTCGTGAGCTTTTTCTAAAATTGTATGAACCTTTTCCAAATTCAAGAACTTTTTACATTTTTGCTATTTTTTATTTTATTTCTTGCAACTATTTTAATTTTATGTAATATTTCAAACTCAAACATTTATAGAAATTTTGTGTTTTTTCTCAAATTTACTAACTACTTTCAAAATTTTGAACTTTTTTATATTGCGATTTTGTTTGTTTTGTTCCTTTTTCAAAATTTCAATTTTTTTATTTCTGATGGTCAACAGTCAACTGATTAACTAATAGAAAATAGGAAAAAAAACTAGGGGAGGAAACAATAGCGAGGGATTATAAGGGCCGGCCCATACGAGCGACCTCAGGCGCTATCGAGACAAACGGGTGCCTGAAGCGCTATATGGGAATGAAATAAAAAGAGAAAAAAATCGGTTGTGAAATGCAGTAATTATTCTTTATTCTTATAATTGATTGCAATAAACTCGTCTCAATCTTCTTCGAATAAAAATAGATCATGATATGATCATGAGACTTGACAAATCGAGATTCTTCTATTCTAAGAAAGGGGTTTTTCATAAGAAAA